AGGGGAGGGGAGGGGAGGGAAAGTTAAAAAGAAAAATACAAAAATCAGCCGGACGTGGCAGCGTGTGTCTGTAGTCCCAGCTACTTGGGAGGCTAAGGCAGGAGAATCGCTTGAACACGGGAGGCGGAGGTTGCAGTGAGTCGAGATTGCACCACTGCACTCCAGCCTGGCGACAGAGTGAGACTCCATCTCAAAAAAAAATAACGAAAAAAAAAAAAAATTTAAGTTATTCAATATATAAAGGTTAAAAGTTCCAAGATTTATTTGAGTACTTTTATGGTTTTGTTTTTGTTTTTGTTTTTCAGACAGAGTCTCCCTCTGTCACCCAGGCTGAAGTGCAGTGGGCGATCTCGGCTCACGGCAACCTCCGTCTCCCGGGTTCAAGCGATTCTCCTGCCTCAGCCTCTAGAGTAGCTGGGATTATAGGCACACGCCACCACGGCCGACTAATTTTTGTATTTTTACAGTGCTGAGATTAAAGGCATGAGCCACTGCACCCAGCCTAATTATTTTATTTTATAGCATGCTTTTATTTCCAGGAAGAGTCTAGGCTTCTCTTTTCCCAAAAGTTCCAGCAATAATCCTATGTTGTCAAGGTTTATGCTTGAAGCAATCACCGCGCCCAGGAAAACAGAATGAGTCTAGAGAGGAATGGTAGGGAAGGAGTGGCTGTCAGCCTCTTCCTAACCACGGGGACTAAGAATAAGGGAGGGTCTCCCGAAAGAAAATGGTAGTGCTGCTGGGCGCGATGGCTCACGCCTGTAAACCCAGCACTTCAGAAGTCCGAGGCTGGCGGATCACGAGGTCAGGAAATCGAGACCAGCCTGACCAACATGGTGAAACCTCGTCTCTACTAAAAATACAAAAAATAGACGGGCTTGGTGGCAGGCGCCTGTAATCGCGGCTACTCAGAAGGCTGAGGCAGGAGAATCGCTTGAACTCGGGAGGCCGAGGTTGCAGTGAGCCGAGATTGCGCCATCGCACTCCAGACTGGGTGACAGAGAGAGACGCTGTCAAAAAAGAGAAAGAAAAGAAAAGAAAGAAAAGAAAAGAAAAGAAAAGAAAAAAGAAAAGAAAAGAAAAGAAAGAAAATGGTGGTGCTATTACCAGAAATAAAGGATGGATACTGAACTGGCAAAAACAGCAGATATCCACTATGATGGGAGAATCCCAAGACCCAAATCAACTCAGGGAAAAGGCACTGAGCAGTTACCACAGGCCTAACACTCTGCTACCCTTCTCCCCTGACAGATAACTGGATTGTCTCAGTTAATTCTCTCAGCGATCCCATGAGATATTGTTGTGAACTGATCTGAGCCAATCTGTCCCTTTGGTGGGTATCAATAGCATTTCCCCACCGCCTGGTAGAAGTTGGAGATGCAGGAGAATTCTGCTGCACATACGAATATCTACCACAGAAAATTAGCAAGCAGGTTCAAAACGGTTCATGCAGCCTTGATGAAGTCCCTGAACCCTGCAGGAAAAGGTCACCTGAGGCAGACGCAGCAATCCCCCAGACACAAACTTGCTACTCACATAAAAAGTATGAGTGTGGCCGGGCGCGGTGTAATCCCAGCACTTTGGAAGGCCGAGGCAGGTGGATCACGAGGTCAGGAGTTCGAGACCAGCCTGGCCAACATGGTGAAACCCCATCTCTACTAAAAATACAAAATTTAGGAGGGTGCAGGGGCTGGCACTTGTAATCCCAGCTACTCGGGAGGCTGAGGCAGGAGAATCGCTTGAACCAGGGAGGCGGAGGTTGCAGATCACGCCACTGCACCCCAGCCTGGGCGACAGAACAAGACTCCATCTCAAAAAAAAAAAAAAAAAAAAAATTATGAGTGTGGATGAGGGAACTGAGGCAGAGAGAGGGCAAGTGACCTTCTGATAAGAGAAAAAAACGCACTGGGACCCCGGCAGGCAGTCTGGCTGCAGAGGTTATTCCTATAGTCCTGGCCCTGGGCTAGGGCTCACATAAGCGAGCTGAGATCTGGAAACCAGCAGCATCTAGTTGATGTTTGAAAACAAGAGATGGATGAAGTGACCCGAGGAGTAGTGATCACCGGCACTTTTGGGGCAAGCAGAGGAGACAACCCAGTATTATGTCCCCAGTAACTGACACACTGCAGGTACTCTAAGTATTCATTGAATGAACGTAAAAGGGAACAACCAGAACAGTACAGTAGTAGGCACACCAGGGGAACCACTGTTTCAAAACTAAGGGAGAAAAAAGTGCAAAAGAGGGGAGTGGGCCAAATGCGGTGGCTCATGCCTGTAATCCTAGCACTTTCAGAGGCCTAGTGGGGAGGATGGCTTGAGCCCAGGAGTTTGGAACCAGCCTGGGCAACACAGTGAGACCCTGTCTCTATAGAAAATGTTAAAACTTAACCAGGTGTGGTGGTGCTCACATATAGTCCCAGCTACGTGGGAGGCTGAGGCAGGAGGATCATCCGAGCCTGGGAGTTCGAGGCTGCAGTGAGCTATGATCCCACCACTGCACACTACACTCTAGCCTGGGCAGCAGAGTGAGACTGTCTAAAAAAAAAAAAAAAAAAAAAAAAAGAGGAGGTGGTCAACATACCATATGCTGAAGAGAGGTCAAACTCAAACTCAAGTCTGAAAAGTGACTCTGGATTTGGGAAGCAGAAGTCATTGGTGATGATCAGTTTCTTGGGGGTGTACTGGTAGATTTTTAACAACCAACTCTCCAAAAACAAATGTATCCATATATATACATAAGTGTATGATAAATTGTACTGGTATAAAGTATGGATAGCACAAAATTTACAAATAAAAAGGCCAGACGCGGTGGCTCACGCCTGTAATTCCAGCACTTTGGGAGGCCGATCACCTGAGGGCGATCATCAGGGCGGATCACCTGAGGTCAGGAGTTCGAGACCAGGCTGGCCCACATGGTGAAACCCAGTCTCTACTAAAAATACAAAAAATAGCCGGGCATCGTGGCACCTGCCTATAATCCCAGCTACTTGGGAGGCTGAGGCAGGATAATCTCCTCAACTTGGGAGGCGGAGGTTACAGTGAGCCGAGATCAGTGCAGTGCACTCCAGCCCTGGCGACAGACCAAGACCCTGCCTCAAAAAAAAACAAAAACAAAAAACCCATTCCTATTGAATGAGTATCATCCTAACGGGAACCATCCTGTGCACAAGATTACAGATTTTTACTGATGTGCAGTGTTTCCTGAGAAGAGATGAAGTGTCAAACTATCAAACAACAAAGAACAATGGGAGTCCATTCGCACAATCCTACCTCCTAAACTCCAGTAAGCAAAATACAAGTCACAATTTTCAAAACCAAATAAATTTGGCGAGATCACAAAACAGCGAAATACAAAAACTATTCCATACACAGCATGATAACTATGTTAACTACACAATCAACATAACAGAAACGGACGTGATCGTCAGGAAGAATCAGATAGGAGCAATCAGGGTGTTGCAAGTCCTGATTACGCAGAGACGTTAATCACGTTTCATGCATTCTCCAATCATCATGTTCTAGTCTGTCCTCCCAAGGAGGAACAGGTAAGGATTATCCCACCTGACGATATTTGTAAAGAGCCGACATTCCGCACTCAGTCAAAAAGATTCCGTTATCAGCTAGGGTGAGTTCACGACGCGTTGGTATAAGTAACCCTACTACTTAGCATCCTTCCAGTTGTATTGCCATATTTGCTTGCACATTTTTAAAAGAATTTTTTCATTCGGCTGCCGAAAAGGAATAAATTTCTTTTTCCCAGAATGCTCCGATCATTTACGTGCTGGACGTTCTAACTGTAAGCACTTTCTATTTACATATCTCCGCCCACTCCCTTCCGCCAGACAACTACCGTAATAACCAAAATAGAAGCGATACCAAGTATCTTACGGTCTGCAGGATTAGAAAATAACGTTGCTTCTTTTTTTTTCTTCAGTAGTTTCGCCATCTCAATTGTGCCCTGAAAACTGTATATGTCTTAATCTTACTACAAAACATATTTTATTACAAACCACTAAATACAATGCGGATAATCCCAGACTCAAGACGTAATTATTCCAACACATATCCTCCAGCAGAAGCAGTTTCCGAGGGGAGGACCGAAGCCTATGCCTTCCTTCTTCCAGGAATACGAAGCGGCCCTTGCCCCTGTAGCCTTCGTCCTTAGGTTCCCGTCATGAAGGTGCTCAGAAAGGTTTCTTTTTCAGCCCAAAGACGGTGACGACTAAAGTCATTTCAGTGACAGCTGGAAGGGCACTACCGAGGCAAGTGGTAGATTCAGAAACCCTTTCAATATAAATACCCAAATCTCCAAACCAGAGACCCCACCCCTGAAAGTGTAGGACAGGTGGCATGGGGTAGGGAATGAAAATTCAAAAGACTACAGGATGTTAAGTGGATCTGGTATCTCACACATAGAGGAAAGGGCTGGGTGGGGGAAAAACCCTCAGGTTTAGGGTCAGCCTTCCTCCCTCATTCCCGAATATTGGATGCTACCACACCTGCAGAAGACAAAAATGTACCAATACGTAGTGCACTCCCAACGCTCGAATATGAAGAAGGACAGGGCCACGGATGCACTACAGTGAGCCCCAATGGCTTGGGAAGGCACCAGAGTTAAGGAAAGTCTTTGGATCGACAGATAGTGAGGGGTCAGAAAAGGCCAAAGGCCAGTGGTGGGGTTGGCATCTGCATTCAGGTTCATCGCTTGCTCCCTCACCATACTGCAAGGGCTAGAGTCAGGATCCCCGACTTCTGAATTTTAGGACAGTCATGTGAGGAGAGACCAGAAGTGACTGAGCAGATGGGATCTCAGGCTACCCTACCCCATATCTAGGGGCCAGCCTGGATCCTTCAGATGAGAGGTAAGAGTAGGCTCTCCTGCTATGCCACACAGGAGTGCTGACAGCGACTTGATATGCGCTGGAATCAGCCTCCAGTGTCCTGGTCCTCCTGGTCCACAATTCTCTGACCCATGTGCCTGGCTTTCTTTGCCTCTTCTGAGTTCCCAATGTGCTTTATATCTTTCGTTTTTTGCCAGAGTCTTGCTCTGTCGCCCAGGCTGGAATGCAGTGGCACGATCTCAGCTCACTGCAACCTCTGCCTCCTGGGTTCAAGCAATTCTCCTTCCTCAGCCTCCTGAGTAGCTGGGATTACAGG